AGGCCTCGGCCGACTCCCCTGGCTTCTGGTCCATGGCGACTGTCTGAGCATGTGTGAACATAGACCACGTCGAGGAACTGCTGACGTGGCACTGGGCGGCTGCTGACATGGCACGGCTATCGGCTGATGTGTTGCTGATGCGGCCTGCTGATGTTACTGATGCGGCCTGGTGAGGTGGCAACTTACCAATGCTGCGGCAGGAAGTACCTGTAGGCAGATGGCGAAGGGAAGAAGGAGGGTTCAACATCATAGGTGGGGGTGGGTGGGATTGATCGCCCGGATAAGGAGCCACTAATCAAAAGAGAAAAGCTTGAACTTCGCAAAAAAAAAAAAATCTTCGAGAAATTAATAATAAAAAAAAAAAACTTGAATTTGCAAGTTCAGTAGGTCTCCCAATCCCCCTGAAATTTGAAATAAGCAATAAGAATAAAAAAATCGAATTTTCAGACTGCTGCGAGGCCAAGGCCCCGATGAGCCCGTTTTTGGCTCTGTTATGCAGCACGTCGGCCACCTTAAGTGAAGGCAGGCTCGATGAGGGCCTGGGGCCCCCTATTCCGGTCACCGCGCAACTGAGGAAAATTCAGGCAGTTGCGCAGCACCCGTAAGTTGAGGAGCACCCACGTCCAGGCCGCCTGTTTGCATGTATGGAAGGCAGGCCCTGGGCTGGATGCGGGATATGGGCCAAACATAGGCCGAGGACAGTTAGGCACACGTAACCACCACAGGCCCTGGGCCTGGACATGGACTTAATATCATTTTGGGGATGCCTTGGCTTGCAAGTGCGGATCACACGGTCAACTTTCATCGGCGGACTCTTACCGTTCGCGGCGCCTTTGGCGCCGAGGTGTCGTGAACCATTCCTCTTCCGCATCGATCCGGTGCCAAGTTGTGACGGCCAAGTCATTCTAGGCCACTTGCGCTTACGAGCAGCCCGATGAAATAGGCCTATGTTTTCTGCGAAGCGTCGCGGTAGCCAACTCGTCACCCACAGACTTGTCTTCGGACCCCCACGTGGCGCGGTTGCTTGACGAGTTCGCCGACATCTTTGATTCACCTACCGGTGTGGTGCCGGATCGGCCGATCTCTCACGAGATCATTTTTGAGGCCGGTGTCGTGCCTCCGAAAGGTTGCATCTATCACATGAGCGAGGAGGAGCTCGCGGTCCTCTGTGCACAATTGACTTACCGTGAGGGCACGGGTGCACAGCTCGTAGTTCGTTTGTTTATGCGGTTCGGGAAGGGTAAGGTAGTGATTATGCTGTCGTTTGATTATGCGGTTCGGGAAGGGTAAGGTAGTGATTATGCTGTATGCATGTTTTGTCATGTTCGCTATACACAACTCGAAGAGTGTGTGTGGGGTGCCAGTTGGTGCTTCATTCACGATGTTCATGCGACACAGGACCCAATTTCCAGCAGGTGGCGTTCCCCATCAATAGATAGGAGAATGTGTGAGTGTGTGTGTGTGTGTGTGTGTGTGTGTGTGTGTGTGTGTGTGTGTGTGTGTGTGTGTGTGTGTGTGTGTGAGAGAGAGAGAGAGAG